AGGGACTGTTTGTCTCAAGTGACACAAGCAGCAAACATTTTTGGCATGTCTGAACATAACTTCACTTACAACACACTTGCTACTACTGCATTATTCTGTTCTGTAAAGTAAAGAGAAGAGAATCTGCCTAGATTGTTTAAATAATGTACAGTTGGCAGGTTGTACAATTCTACACCCACAATGGGTAAAAACTAGGCGCTTAAGCACTTGTCTCAGTAGAAATTTCCTTCTTTTGGCAGAAACCTCTTCTGCCAGATGAGCTCAGAAATCTGCCAAAGTAATTATTTGCCAACAGAACTGTTCTCCTAGTTAAGATGTTTTGACATAAGGGCCAAAAGTGGTGGGGAGCGGTGGTTGAAAGGGCAGGGTGAGAAAGGAGCCAAATTATCCTGGACTGAAACTTCTTACCACCCAATGACACAGCCGTAACTCTGGAACAAAGTTGGGCGAGAGTGAGAATAGTCCTAAATAATTTCCAAGATCATCAGATTGGGAGTGGCATGGATCTAATAAAGCAGTGGTTCTCAACCTGCGGGTCCCCAGATGTTTTGGCCTTCAACTCCCAGAAATCCTAATAGCTGGTAAACTGGCTGGGATTTCTGAGAGTTGTAGGCCAAAACATCTGGGGACCCACAGGCTGAGAACCACTGTAATAAAGCATCACTTGATCCAGAGGTTGCTCAGCTGGTCCTTGGACACCTTGGCTGGTGAGAATGATTCTTTTTGAAAGAGCACTGATGGCCAGCCAGTAGAGCTAAAGCTCAGGACCAATGAAGATGTGTCCTTAACTTTCATAGAATCAAAGAATCATAGAAGTTGGAAGAGACCTCATGGGCCATCCAGTCCAACCCCCTGCCAAGAAGCAGGAAAATTGTATTCAAAGCACCCCCAACAGATGGCCATCCAGCCTCTGTTTAAAAGCTTCCAAAGAAGGATCCTCTACCACACTCCAGGGCAGAGAGCTCCACTGCTGAACAGCTCTCACATTCAGGAAGTTCTTCCTAATGTTCAGATGGAATCCCCTTTCTTTTAGTTTGAAGCCATTGTTCCGCGTCCTAGTCTCCAGGGAAGCAGAAAACAAGTTCACTCCCTCCTCCCTGTGACTTCCTCTCACATGTTTATACATGGCTATCATGTCTCCTCTCAGCCTTCTCTTCTTCAGGCTAAACATGCCCAGCTCTTTAAGCCGCTCTTCATAGGGCCTGTTCTCCAGACCCTTGATCATTTTAGTCGCCCTCCTCTGTACATATTCCAGGTTGTCAATATCTCTCTTCAATTGCGGTGCCCAGAATTGGACACAATATCCTGAACTCTTACATGGCTTGGTTTTGGTGCTAGTTCTTAATAAAGACTACCTGTGGAACCTATGCAGCTGTAGCACAAGGCCAGATTATACTGGGCTGTTTTTGTAGTGTTTGTTTTAAGTTGAAGGAATACAACTTGTTCATTATTATTGTTTTATTGTGTGTATTTTTAGCATGCATTGTGCTGATTATGGTTGGGTTGATCATTCTGACTGTGGTGATTCCAGTAATCATTGAGGATTGTGCTGATTATGGATGGTTTGTTTTGTGCTGATTATGTTTTATTTGAGCTTTCCTCTGTTTGTTCTATCCTCCTCCTCTGGACTGGTGTCACAGGGTGAGGGCTTTAAACCTTTGCCCTTGCCGCCTACTGTTTTCTCAGGGCCAAAATCTTCCACGCTCCCATGACAAATAGCAGGAATAGGGGAAGTGATCTGGATTGGAATCATGTAAGGAATAATGGATTAAAGACACTCTCTACTATCCTACAGTGCGGATTCAATTTACCCCCTATGTTTTTGTTACAGTAGAATCTCGCTTAACCAATTTTGCTCATCCAACATTCTGTGTTTGCCTCCCACGCAGATCCACAACTTTTTCAATACATTGCAGTGTTTTGGTGCAAAATTTGTAAATACAGTAATTACTACATAACGTTACCATATATTGAACTGCTTTATTTGTTGATTTGTTGTGAAACATGATGTTTTGGTGCTTTATTTGTAAAATCATAACGTAATTTGGGGTTTAATAGGCTTTTCCTTAATCCCTCCTTATTATCCAAAATGTTCATTTATCCAGCGTTTGTTTATGTTGGATAAGTGAGACTCTACTGTATTCACTAAACAAAATCATACAGAAGCAAATTGAATAGTTAGAATCACACATAATTTGGTCCTATGGCTGATGCTCTGTCTATATGTCTGTATCAAAATAGTGTTTTTTAAAAGTCATATGTATCTGTTTATAAAAACAGGGACATGGCCCTTAAAGCAACCTTGATTACTGAAGGGAGGATATGGGGGTATTGACAAGCTGTGTTGGCATGTTTCCCATCTTTTTGGCTGTTCAGATTTTCTACATAAATACAGGACTTTATCACATGAGGTAGGAAAACTGGTGTTGCAGCTGGGCCATCACTACATCACACCTTGTGTATCCAGTGACTGGTTTCTCTCCTCCCGCCATTATTTTCCCATTCTGTGGTGGTGCAATTGGTAAAACCGTTGAGCTGCAGAACTTGCTGACTGGAAGATTAGTGGTTTGAATCCACGGGATGGGGTGAGCTTCCATTGTTAGCCCCAATTCCTGCCAACCTAGCAGTTTGAAAACATGGAAATGTAAGTAGATCAATAGGTACCACCTTGGTGGGAGAGTAAACAGTGCTCCATGCAGTCATGCTGGCCACATGACCTAGGAGGTGTCTATGGACAATGCAGGGTCTTTGGCTTAGAAATTGAGATGAGCACCACCCCATAGAGCCAGAGATAAGTACCACCCACAAAACCCAGAGATGAAGGGGAGGCCTTTACCTTTATCTGTATGTATCTGTGTTTCATTATTTTGAGGCATTGAATGTTTGTCTTGTGTCTGTATATGCTGAAATCTGCCCTGAGTCCCCTCAATATAAGTTGTTGTTGTTGTTGTTGTTGTTGTTGTTGTTGTTGTTGTTGTTGTTATCCCTAGTTATCAATGAGTAGAACTGTTTGGCAGCTCCCAAACCCACAATGTTCCTGTCTACTACTGCAATGCAATGAGTCCCTTTCACTTCTGTGCCAGAATACTGGCAATGACATGATGTCAGTGGATGGGATTCCCCTCCTCTTTCTTGCTATGCCCAGGCTATTCTTTTTTAAATTTTATACACATATTTATCTTTGTTTGCTTTTCATACCTTTCATTTTTTGGGGAAGGTGGGCTGGGGTGAAAACAGCTGATCCAAGAGACCAGGGGATGTCAGAGATGCCAAAAAAGTCTCAGGGGTCAGAAATCTATACTTTGCTAGCCTCTGATTTAGGATTCTTTCACATTACACAATTCTAATACTTCTACAAAAAAACATCTACAAGATGAAGACTCTGGAATGATAGCCTGAAGAAAGGGCCTGGTGGATCCTTCCTTTTGCATGAAACAAAAGTACCAATTTGAAAGCAAGTGAGAGCAACTCACAGAAAATTTGAGGTCACCTTACTGCACTATAGGAACATAAAAAAGCAGCTGAAGTGCATGTGAAAATCCCCAAAGGCGATGGAGATTTACTGTGCATTCCCAAAAATGTTTGAAGTATAACCACATAGACTTACACAAGGATATATTTAAATAGATAAATAAATCTTGAGAGCTTATGATCAAGAAATTAATTTGGGAAAATCCTTAACAGAAATGTTCTATCTGCATAGAGGTTTTCCATATTTCAGCACTAAAAAAATGGAACAGAACTCTTAAAACAATGTATATACAGCTCACAATGGGCAACTAGAACCAACAAGGTGTAGTTGTTTGAGAATCGGACTAGGACTTCAGGTGACCAGGGTTTACTTTGCCATGGAAACTCACTGATGACTTTGGGCAAGTCACACACTCTCAGCTCCTGAGGAAGGCAATGGCATATCCCCTTTGAGTAAGTCTTCCCAAGGTTTGACTCAGGATCACCATAAGTCAGAAATAACCTGAAGGCACATAGCAACATGACTTTGTCTCCCAAAGTGTTGGGAAGTAAATTTTTGAAAAAAGTAAAGAAACACAAAGCTGGATGTTCATGGAATGAGACCAAAAGGTACAAAATAAGGGGTGGGGGGGGGGGAAATGTATTAATAGATATAAGCAAGTTAAAATCAACATCATATATGACCTGTAGSCTCTATCATCAAGCTAAACCACATAGCAGCTATTGATCCACAATACCCTTGCAGGATAAATAGAGAAAAAGTTGGATGAAGAAGGTTCTAAGTCAAGGGTCCCCAAACTAAGGCCTGCGGTCCATATGTGGCCCTTCAAGATAATTTACCCACCCCTGCCCCTCACCCTAAATTTTAGACTTGGAGTCACTCTAAGTCAGAAACGAAGGCACACAACAACAGCAACAACCCTAATTAACTTGACTATCTCAGTAGCCAAAAGCAGGCCTACACTTTCCACTGAAATACTGGTAAATTTATGTTGGTTAAAATGATTCTTCATTTAAATATTGTATTGTTCATTCATGGGTCCCCCGTCCCCCCCACTATAAATAAGGTATGTTCAGCATGCATAGGAATGTTTTTTTCAAACTAATGTCCAAAGTTCTTTCTTGTTATGTGAATTTTGGCTTTCTCCCCCAATGCAGGTCCTGGTAGAAGCATCTCTACTCCATCTGCAGTCTCTCAAGAGCCTCCCTTTGTCCCTTTGCCTTTCTCCCGTTTTCCAGATTGCAAACATTGAAAATCACTTACACCATCACTTCCTTTGATGCTTTTTATATTTCCTGTCTGTTCTTTTCCAAGGTCTTTGCTGCTTCCACCACTCATTTATAGGTTTTTCTCTCTGCATTCTCCTTCCATAAGATTAAATCAGTTTGACCAGATGCAGCCTGAGGCCTCTCTGACATTGAGGCCAGTTACTTTTTGAAACTCCACCATTACAGTCCAACAAAAAAATTCCATTTTGCCATTCAATATAGATTATTTCCCGTTCCATTACAGACTGTTGCCTACTTACCCCAGATTCAGAAGGATCTGGCAACCAACCTAGCTCATTCTGGGCAGTACTCGTATCAAGAAGATTCACTGGAACAAAAATACAAAAAGAGATTAGAGGGACAAGTGTCAGACAGGTGTCAAAGTCTTAAGTGCTGAGATGACAGAAGAACATACAAGATCAACCAAGTTTGATGCTTTTGTCAATCAATAGCTGTATGTAATTCAGAATCAGAATACAAGCTGAAAGGCAGCCTCTTGCTTGCTATAAGCCCCAACATATCCTTAGCCTTGGTTGTTAAAGGAAGGAAGGAAGGCTATTATCCCCTCTGCTCTAGGTACATGGGAAGGCAGCTTTGCCATCACATACATAGGCAACAGAAAGTTATATTCTATAACAAGAGACCCAGAAGTGTTGTCAAAAAGTAACAAGGTATATTGACTGACAAATAGAGAACATCAATATATTTGGAGGACAGTGGTGGTGAGATCATGATAAGCGGTGTTACAGATTACACAACTTGACTTTGCTTGCTTGACAGGACTCTCCGTTCCTTTGAGCTCCCTTTGCACCTCTTCCCATTTGCTATGGAAGATCTTCCACACATCTTCAGTACATTTGGCAGGCATGCATGCCTTGGGTAGTAGTGGGGATGGAAAATCTTTTTCCCATAGAGCATGTGTTGTTTTGAAGAATAATACAGTAGAGTACAATGAGCCCTCCACATTCACTGGGGTTAGGGGGTTAGGAGAATAGGACCTCTGTGGAAGTGAAAAACTGAAGGAACACCTCTCTAGGAATTTCTAGATCCTCCAACACAACTTTATGGCCAACTTGTAATGGATGCTGACCATAGAACCCCACTGGAGGACCTAGAGCAGTGGTTCTCAACCTGTGGGTCCCCAGGTGTTTTGGCCTACAGTTCCCAGAAATCCCAGCCAGTTGACCAGCTGTTAGGATTTCTGGGAATTGAAGGTCAAAACATCTGGGGACCCACAGGTTGAGAACCACTGACCTAGAGATTATTAGAGAACTATTCTGTCTGGGAATCTCCAACTCCTCCAGTGTGACTCTGTGATCAGCTTTCAAAGGATGTTGCATTGAAGTATGCAGACATTTGTGGAGAGAACATTGTAATTAAATCCATGAATAATAAAATCCACAAAAGTCAAACCCACAAATGTAGAGAACTAACTGTACTAATGCTGAGTATAGGATAAAATACATTAGCTATTGTGTTTTTAATAGCAAACAGGCTAGATGTATAATAAAATTCACTTATATATATGATTTGGAGAAAGATACAAATGTATTAATTTGTAATAACTGGGACAGAAAGTAAGTAACTTGTGTAACATAATCACAATTCTCCTTTGGAGATACCACTGGCGGTTCACTACTCATCAGATATTTCATGAGAATGTAACTGCTCACCAACCAAATAAATCTGATAATGACTTTCCCACTACTAATACACAATTGAGCCACTAATAAACTGCTGGATAGCTAATAGCATAGCATGCATAGAGCAATTCAATATTTTTGGGAAACACTGAATACTAGGCCTGGGTAACAACGGAAAAATTTGTTTCTAAAATCGATTTGTTTTTGGGGGGGTTTTGCGTTTCGTTATTTAAAATAATTACAAAATTTTCCTTTTAAAAAGTTCGATATTTACGAAATTTCGTAAATGTGAAAAAAATTACAAAACATTAACGAATCGATTTCCGAAACAATAACGAATCGATTCGTTAATGGCGGACGCGACCGCGAAATACGCTAAAAAACCTCCAAAAACTTCTGAAGCTTCCCTCTCCCTCTGTTGTTGACTGTTGGTGTGATATTATAATTTTTTTTTTCACTAATTAAACAAAAAACAACCATAAAACTTGCCCCAGACATGCGGAAATAATAACGAAAACGACCTCAAAACAATAACGAAACGAATACAATAACGAAATACGAAGCATTTACAAAATGTATTTAAAAATTCATTTTTTTAAAAAAATTGCTCCAGAATGGTTCGTTATCGTTTTGTAATTAAAAAAATTAACGAATTATTAACGAATTACGAATTAACGAAACGAAACTGCCCAGCCCTACTGAATACATGGCGGTCAAACTATCACCTCCCATGAGCTATTAGGAGTACTAAAAGTCTACAGCAGTGGTTCTCAAGCTTGCTAATGCTGTGACCCCTTAATGCAGTTCCATATGTTGTGGTGACCCCCAACCATATTATTGTTTTTGTTGCTACTTGATACCTATTATTTTACTACTGTTTTAAATTGTAATGTAAATATCCGATATGCAAGATATATTTTCATTCACTGGTCTAAATTGAGCACAAATACCCAATATGCCCAAATGTGAATGCTAGTGGGGTTGGGGGAGGATTGATTTTGTTATTTGGGAGTTGTCGTTGCTGGGATTTATAGCTTACCTATAATAAAAGAGCATTCTAAACTCCACCAGCAATGGATTTAAACCGAACTTGGCACACAGAACTCCCATGACCAACAAAAAACACTGGAAGGGTTCAGTGGGCATTGGCCTTGACTTTGGGAGTTGTAGTTCACCTGCATCCAGAGGAGTGCTGTGGATTCATGCAATGATGGATCTGGACCAAACTTGGCACTAATACTCAGTATGCCCAAATGTGAACATTGATGGAGTCTGGGGAAAATAGACCTTGATATTTGGGAGTTGTAGTTGTTGGGATTTATAGTTCACCTACAATCAAAGAGCATTCTGAACTCTACCAACAATAGAATTGGGTCAAATTTCTCACAAAGAATCCCAGTGACCAACAGAAAATACTATGTTTTCTGGTGGTCTTTGGCGACCCCTTTGACAACCCCTCATGACCCCCTCAGGGGTCCCGACCCCCAGGTTGAGAAACACTGGTCTACAGGAACTTTTTCACCCATTTTTCTGTATTTGGGACTTTGTTAATGTTTCCTCACCAGATAAATAATATCAACTCCAGAGCTGATTTAGGGCTCTTCCACATAGTCATATAACCCAGAATATCAGGCAGAAAATCCCACAATATCTGCTTTGAACTGGGTTATCTGTGTCCACACTGCCATATATTCCAATTCAAAGCAGATAATGTGGGATTTTATTCAGCTGTGTGAAAGGGGCCGTAGTCTCCTTTACTGCTTCTAAAAATGTCTCAGAAGTACAGAAAGATCTGGAATACTTTGGACCACCTGCTTCCTCTGAATTTCCTTTCTCTGCTGCAGTTGGGATGTCAGACAAACAGAAATGGAAGAACTTTCTGCAGCCACTTTAAGGAGATTTCCAAGATTAGGGACTTCTCCTTTGTTCTTGGGTCTTTCTGAGCTTGTTGTTGTTCATTCGTTCAGTCGTTCCTGACTCTTCGTGACCTCATGAACCAGCCCACTCCAAAGCTCCCTGTCGGCCGTCACCACCCCCAGCTCCTTCAAGGCCAATCCAGTCACTTCAAGGATGCCATCCATCCATCTTGCCCTTGGTCGGCCCCTCTTCCTTTTTCCTTCCATTTTCCCCAGCATAATTGTCTTCTCTAGCTTTCCTTTCTTCTCATGATGTGGCCAAAGTACTTCACCTTTGCTTCTAATATCCTTCCCTCCAATGAGCAGCCAGGCTTTATTTCCCGAAGTATGGACTGGTTGGATCTTCTGGTTGGGTCAAAGGCATTCCCAGAACTTTCCTCCAACACCACAATTCTACTCTCATTAGCTACTCTCATGAAAACTGTGCCTTTGTAGCTCTAGAGAAAGCTTTGGAGACTTGTGGCATTTTAAATCCACACAATTCTCATTTCTATTGCAACAAAAGCCCATAGCCATCACCTTCACAACCATAGAACACAATTTTATCCCAACAAGATGTCAGAAGGTCAGCTGATTGATGTGATGGAATGTCATATGGACATTTAATGGACATTTGCCACATCAGTGTGAATTTTGAAACATGCATTTAAATCAAAGATATTGTATCAGTTGAAATCATTGAATTACTGCTATATATTTGTTCCTTACAAGAAAATGAATACTGCCATTAATTGTCTATGACTGCAACATGCCAACCAGCCCAAAATAAACCTAAAATTATCTGGGACTTAATAGGGAAAGAAAAATGACACCATAGCTAAGAGCCCTCTTTCCGCAGAGGAGTCACATCTCGCAAAAGGATGAAGTGACAGGGACAAATTATCAGAACAACAAATCAATTAGTGTCGCCTCAGGGAAGGAAGTAGAAGTAGGAATGAGAGGCCAACAAAGATCATGTGAAATACCTTAGGAAGATAAAGTATGTGTTTTAACACAATTTTGTATCCCACTTTATTCATTACAATGAATCCACAATTTGTTCCACTCTATCTCTAAAGGTGAATCTACACTGTAGAATAAATGCAGATTGACACCACTATAGCTGCTGTGGCTGAATGCCATGGAATGATAGAAGCTGTAGTTTAACAAGGTCTTTAATCTTCTCTACCAAAGAGTAGTGGAGCCTCCCAAACTACATCTCTCATGGTTCCATATCATTGAACCATGTCAGTTAAAATGTGAAACTGCATCAGTTCTACAGTTCAGATGCACGCTTAGTTAAGCTTATATCCAGATAAGCTTCGGGTCTTGTTCTGGATTGGTGCAAACGTAAGACTGGTCAGGGGACCAAGAATGCCGTATGGCGGATGCACTGCTTCTCCTTTGTCCTTTGTGTGGGCTTTCTCTCTCTAGTTTTGGTGCCATGACTATGGTTGACTTGGCGGCTACACCTAATCACAACCAGCTCCAAACCAGTTTGCAATCATGATTAGAAAAGAGTTTGCCAGATGCGGTTTGGGCAGTCCAGCAATTATTGCAGAACTCCTTTTCCCTAAGTTCATCCCATAGAAAGGCTGTGACATTTAAAGACCCATAGCTATGTAGACGAAACTAATTGTGGCTGAGGGCTGCTCCTACTCTTCTGCTGCCTCTTCCCACGGCCAATCTTTTAACCATCCACCCTCCTTACCTTACTGCCCATAGGATGAGATCTCTTTTTTCTTTATTTTTGCTTCCTTGTTCTTTCTCATCCTTACCTTTTTCTTTGC